ATCTAATTAGGAAGCAAGGATGTTATTTTATGAGGTTTCAGACTGTATAAAAAGGAGTTACACCTTTTCTGAAGTGTAATTCTCCCCTGCATATCATTGGGTATATTTGGAACAATTGAACATCATGTCTTTTAACTTTGATCAAAGATTAAATGCTGATTGTTTTTCAAGCCTCCGTCTAAGTCTCATTTTTGGCTCATTGTGACTTGGATGTATTCTCAAACTTCTATGGGTCTAAACATATTCTCAAACCTTACAGTATATAGATAATAAAGTTGAAAAAAGGTGATCAACATTTTTACAGAACTATAGGTACGTTGAGGCTGGGTGTGACAAGGAATGGCTGAGAGGGGAGGGGCCAGGTGAGGCACCCCTTGATGTGAGTGACATTGAGTTGGCCAAGCCCACCCAGTCACATAACTGCCAAGCCACTCCCACCTGGTCACATGACCACCATGCCACGGCCACAAAATAAGCCATGTCCACAGAACCGGTAGTAAAAATTTTGAAACCCACCCCTGCCTTGGTGGGTTCTTGTCTCACACAGTCTATTCTTGGATCATCTGCATTCCTTCTCACCCTTCCTTAATAAATTATACTTTGCTTTTACCTTGTATGTGAGTTCATTGCATCTGAATGCCACAACCTGCTATCCACAATTTACTACAATAAAGAGTGCTACATCACTCTATATCTTGCTTGCTTTAGCTGATTGAAAATAATTAAACAACTCATACACACTTACTTAGATGGGATACCACTAAGAAATCCAGGCAGCTAACTAGAGTACAAGGTTGAAAAACACTTCCTCATACAAAGCAAAAGCAAACTATTCCATACTGTTGTGAAGACAACAGAATGAACCTGTGAATGAAGTCATCAAGATTTAGACTCAATTCATACTGTATATTCTTTGTGATATAAAGGAATTCTAAACATTAAAACTTCCATAATTAACTACTCTAGGGTTTTTTCTTCAAAATAATTGTAGTAACGTCTAAATTATATTGCATTGTTTTTCTTCGTTCCATTAAGACATTTGTTTTCACTTCTAACTTTTATATCATTCTTAGGCTTTGACTTAACTGTTCCCTATAAACTTCATTAAATTTTGGCCTGAAATTTTACTTTTTTTCTACAAAATACATAGTTCATCCAGACATTTTTTTCTTCTAAACAATAAAACAGAATATGTGACCAATATTTAAATTCTTAAACAAAAGTGTCTTATATGAAACCTTTTCATAAATACAAATGTTTATCAGTAAAACCTACTTGGGCTTTGGGGTCAATCTCCATTGAAAAATGGTCCGGATTGCTGTTCACATATTCCAATTCCAGAATTTCATATGTAGAATTAACCAGAGGAATATGCTGGCTGACCCATCTGTAACAAAGCACCACAAAAAGTCCAGTTATTTAATCATTATAAATTACTTTGTTAATTCCAATGTTGCTGCTAGCTACTTTATTTAAATAGCACTTGATGGGCGGGGGGGCGCCCTGTCAGGCCTGGAAACCATCTTTTGCATTGGGCCTTCAGGCCTGCCACATTTAGTGCTATGGGATAGTGGGAGGAGGGATTGTGGGAGTATGGGAGATATAATCAAAATAACATTCCTGCTGTGGTCTGCCAGCAGAGCGGGCAGCAGATTTGGACAGTGAGGATGTTGGGGAGGAATATGGGCCAGTTCTGGAGCCTGGGGAAGGCTCTGATGAATGATCCACATCGGAGACAGAGATAGGGCCAGGGCAGTGGTGAAATTCAATTCTTTTTACTACCAGTTCTGTAGGCGTGGCATGGTAGGCATGGCAGGGGAAGGATACTGCAAAATCTCAATTCCCACCCCACTCCAGGGGAAGGATACTGCAAAATCCCCATTCCCTTCTTACTACTGGAGGAAGGATATTGCAAAATTTCCATTCCCACCCTACTCTGGGGCCAGCCAGAGGTGGTATTTGCCAGTTCTCCGAACTACTAAAAATTTCTGCTACCGGTTCTCCAGAATCTGTCAGAATCTGCTGAATTTCACCCCTGCGCCAGGGCTGTCTGACAGTTATCAGCTGCCATCAGAGTCAGACACCAATGAAGTAGACAAACAGCTGGAGCCTGTTCCCATTGTACACATATGCAGAGTTGCCAGACAAAGGGAACAGTTAAGGAACAAGGGTCGACTTGGGAGTAAAGCCACAGGTGGATGGTGAATAGCCCCACCCATAGGGAATAAAAGAGGAGCGAAAGGGAGGGATGTTTGCAGGAGACATTATATTCATTCGTGCATTCTATCGGCCTGGCCACTCTCCAAGCCAGGTAAAGGTAGGTATTTGTGAACTATCTGGAAAGACTGTGGGCTGGGACTTTGCTGGACAGGAATTCACTGTAAATTAAATAAAAGGGGTTTATTGGGACAAGGACTAGGCTTCGTGCCACTGGGGAAACCTAGGTCAGAACAATTCCTTTCTCAGAGAGCAGAGGTGGGTTCCTCCCGGTTTGGTACAGTACACCAGAACAGGTAATGAAAATCTGGCGGATTGGACTGGACCAGACCAGTAGCGGCCTGGCTACACCCCCATACTGGCAAAAGAAAGAATATCCCGCCATCCTGGAACTGCGCTGTCAGGTAAGGGAAGCGGGTCTTGGGAGAGACCTTCCCTTCCCCTTCAGAGAGCCCATGTGGAGAGAGAAGAGGTGGCCTGATTTGAACGTGGGGGGGGGCAGTTTAGTGGCCAGTGCCTCCTTCGCTTGTTGGGGTGGGCGGAGAAAGAAAGGAGGTATGTGATAGCCAAGGGCGAAGGTGCTTCACTTCACCCTTGGTGGGGAGGGGTGCTTTATTGTACACCTCCTTCCCTTGTTCAGCTGCTACTGCTGGGGTGCTGCCAGGATAAGCTAGGTGCTGGAGAAAGAAAGGAGGTGCATGATAAAGCAGCGTCCCCTGCCACCAAGGGCAAAGGGGAGCACCTTCACGCTCTGCTATCATGCACCTCCTTTCCCAAGATTGGCAGGATGCCTCTCCCCAGTCCTCAGTTGCCACCATACAGGGCAGCTACACCCCACAAGAAATTTCCTAGCCCAGGATCATGGGAGAAGCTCATCTGCCTAGAGTTGCCAATCCTTCTGCTGGCCTAAGAGGAAGCTTCTGCTGCCACTTTTATAGGCCGGGAGCATCTGGGAGGGAAAAACCCTGTTTTTCTGCCAGGTCACCAGAGAAGGAGAAAGCACTCTTCGGCCCACGTGCCCTCTGCTGCCTGGTTGGTTACAGTGCTTTGCAGCCAGAGAGAGAATCTGGCCAAGACGGCATCCTAAGGGCTCCAAATCTGTGCCATCAAGAGAAAAGCCAATGGAAAGTTGTGAGCCTCTGCAGCGCCTGTAAAGGTGGCAGCAGAAGCTTCCTCTTGGGCCTGTCAGAAGGATTGGCAATACTAGAAAGACGAGCTTCTCCCAGGATCCCAGACTAGGAAATCTCTTGCAGGGTGTAGCAGCCCTGTATGGTGGTGACTGGGGAAGGGGGAGAGATGTCCTGCCAATCTTGGAAAAGGAGGGGCATGATAGCAGAGGGCGAAGTCACTCCCCTTCGTCATTGGCAGCAGGGGATGCTGCTTTATCGCGCACCTCCTTTCTTTCTCTGCCCACCCCAACAAGAGAAGGAGGCACTGGCCACTAATTGCCCACCCACATTCAAACCAGGCTGCCTCCTCTCTCCCCACACAGGCTCTCTGAAGGGGGAGGAAAGGTCTCTCCCAAGACCAGATTCTTTCCTTCCCTCCTGCGGCATCAATCCATAGGGGGAGGGCACAGACTGTTCAGCAGCAGCGGGGAAAGGGAGGCTTCTTTGCCAGCCTTCCAGGTGGCAAAACAGACATTTTCGCCAACTGGAAGGGATGTGTGTGTGAGAGAGATTGGGGGGGGGGGGGTATAAAGAAAGAGTAAGAGTAAAAGAGAAAGAAAGAGAAAGAAAGAGACAGAAGAAAGAAAGAAAGAAAGAAAGAAAGAGGGAGGGGGGAGAGAGACACACACACACACAAGGAAGGAAGGAAGGAAGGAGGAAAGAAAGAAAGAAAGAAAGAAAGAAAGAAAAAAAGAAAAAAAAAAAAAAGAAAGAAAGAAAGAAAGAAAGAAAGAAAGAAAGAAAGAAAGAAAGAAAGAAAGAAAGAAAGAAAGAAAGAAAGAAAAAGAATGAGAACTTATGACCACAATTGAACTCAAAAGTTTGGTTGCAAAGCAAGAGCATTGTTAAATTTCACCATATTTTACAAGTTGGCCACTCCCACCCAGTTGCATGACTGCCAAGCCATGCCCACAAAATAGGCCATGCCCACAGAATAGGTAGTAAAAAAATTTGAAACCCACCCCTGTCTAAGAGTCAAGGACATCTTGCCCTGCGCCTGGAGTGGTGTGACTGGGAAGAATCTGCAGTTGGGACGGTGCCTGATTGGACCATGTGATGGACATGTGGGTGCTGGGAAGGGGCTTGAACTTTCATTTGGATGGGGAAAACCTGGAAGCTTTCAGATTTGGGTTTTCCCAGATATGCCAATATGACATCTCTAATAAAATGGAACTTTGAGGAAACTCAAGCCTCGGAGTCCTCTTTTGTTAGGGGTGTTACTTGGAACCCTGATATGTAGTCTAACAAAGAGAAGGAGTAGGAGTGATAAGATAATAGTCTTCCAATATTTGAGGGGTTTTCAAAAAGAAGAGGTGGTCAACCTATTCTCCAAAGCACCTGCAGGCAGGATAAGAAGCAATGAATAGAAGTTTATCAAAAAGAGACCCAACCTAGATTTAAGAATAATTTTCCTGCCAGTGCAAACAATCAATAAATGGAACAGCTTGCCTCCAGTGGGTATGCCATTGCTGGACATTTTCCAGATGAGATTGAACAGTCATTTGTTCAGAATGGTATAGGGCAGGGTGTCAAACTCAAGGCCTGGGAGGGCAGGTCCAACCCATGGAGTACTTAGATTTGGCCTGTGAGGCTGTCCTGGAAACAGTGAAGGACTGGCCCGTGCTGCTTCTTTTATTCTGAAAACAGAGCTCAGGAGCCTGTTTTCACTGGCAGAGGGTTGCAGGAGATTGTGGCAGCCAAAAACAGTGCTCCAGAGCCTATTTTCACTGGCAGAGCTCTTGGGCCACCACAGGCGCCCGCAATAGGAATTGTGTCAAGATGGCCATGCCATCTTGGGGTGGCCACCCTGGCCACACCCACCCCAGCCCCTGGAGGTCAAACACAACCCTAATGCAGCCCTCAATGAAATTGAGTTTGACACCCCTGGTATAGGGTGGAGGTTGGATTAAAATACCTCCAAGATCCTTTCCAACTCTGTTATTCTGTAGGTCTCAGGAAAATATTTATAGTAGGCAATTAATGATTATGTTGGAATTTCATCTTTGTCTGCAGTAAAAAATATACTAATGCAGCTGAGGATTATCTGTAATCTCCTGCCAAGTCTGCCAAGAACTGAACTAATGGTTAGTTGTCTCAATATCAAAGAACAATTTAGACAAAGAAAATAATATTTTGTTGTACAGCTATATAATTAAACCCACGATTCAGGCTAAATGTAGGATTGCTTACTTTCCAAGTTCACATTTTACTTCAGGCAATTTTATTGGATGAGGAATCTGTCCATTCAGCTTCAATGCATACCAACACTCTCCTAATTTCTCTGATGTAAATATAACACTAAAATGAGAGTTATAAATCTGTTGGTAAAATTATCTTGTTATATAAAAGACAGTTACAAAGTGGAAATCGAGATAATAAAGGGGATCAGCAAAATGAACTTTCCTGTTATACCTCAATTAATTTCTTAGATCTAATCACAGATTAGGTGTCCATATCATCAACACCATAATGATTATCATAATTATTACGGTCATGATCACTTCCTCCTCTTACATCATTAAATAGCACAAAGTAAATCATGAGGTATATATAGCCATCTATAGACTAGACCAGTGGTAGTCAACCTGGTCCCTACCGCCCACTAGTGGGCATTCCAGCTTTCATGGTGGGCGGTAGGGGTTTGCTGTAACACTGCTTTATAAATTTTATAAAGTAAAGTTACTTCCCTACTTTATAAATCACCATTACTGTGGAACCGGTGGGCGGTTAGAAAATTTTACTACTAACAGAGATACAAAAGTGGGCGGTAGGTATAAAAAGGTTGACTAACCCTGCAATAGATAGCTAGATAGATGGATGGATGGATGATAGGTAGAGAAAGATGATAGAGAGAAAGTGAGAGTAGATAGATAGATAGATAGATAGAT